AGCGGTCACCGGTGACCGCAACCTATTGTTCTATAATTGTCGCGGAGAACCTAACGGGTAACCGGGGCTCCGGCTCGACGTGCAGGAGAAGGAACGGGGTGGTTTTTAGTCAGTAAGAGTCTGACACTCCCTCCCGCCTCACCCAGGCGGGAGCAGTCATTCGAAGATTTACCCACCTTAAAAAAAAAAATTGTTCTATAATTGTGTCTACAAAACCGGTACTCGACGAGTTAAACTAAAAGAAACGTATTGTTTATCTACTATACATATTTACTGACCGATAAAAATATTTAAATTGCTATTGATAATGTTCAGTATACTCAGTAATTTTCTACTCGATGGGCGCAGTTAATGAAAACTACAAATACAGTATTTACGTATTTTATTCATGCAATTATTTATTTCAATTTCAATAAATATAACAACTGACAGTTTATAGTGAAACAATGAAATAAATAAGAATTAATTCTATGATATGTACAGCCTTGACAAAATTATTGTTTATTGCTATTTTTTATAGCAAAATGCACGTGCAAGTAGGACGTGTGTTCAATGAGTCATATAGATTGTATTCTTTTGTAGAACTGACTGCCTCGTTGGTCGAGTAGTCGCAATTGCGACTGCCGAGCAAGGGGTCTCGGGTTCGATTCCCGGGTCGAGCAAAGTATTACTGGGTATTTTAAAAAAAATCTCAGTAGTAGCACGGAGTCTGGAACTGTGCCCGGTATATGGCAATAGGCTCACCCCCTATTACATGGGACTCATAACATAAATAGTGAAAAGTGGGTGTTACATTGTACAGTCGTATAATGTGCACCTCTGCCTACCCCTTCGAGGATAAAAGGCGTGATGTTATGTTATGTTATGTCTTTTGTAGAACGACTGAGTAAATAAGTCCTACACTGATATATGTAAGTCTATCAATGAATCGATTTCTTCTTTAATTAAAGTTTGTACAATACATTGAAACCTACGTCATGCATAGTTAGCACTTGTACAACGTAGTTAAACTGGATAGATACAGTTGTGTTCCCGAAAGGAGTAGGCAGTGATGCACTTTGCACTCCTAAAATTAATGCAACAAACAATTTTAAATGATAAGTAGTTTACTGAGTAACCTGACATATCAAGATATTATTCAGATTCAGAAGTTATGCTATGAGCTTCATGAAGTAGATGGTAAGTCTACTGTCGTGAACCACGAACCTGGACCTCTTTCAAGATATGTAAGTAACAAATAATAAAAATCGAATACTTAATACAATCCGGTTTAAAATTCTAATTTATAACTCCCTGATAGACAGACAGACATGTTTGCGATAATTTATACATTGTCTTTATTTTAATGTAATGTGAAATATTCCATAGTTTTACAGTCATCCTAGTCTCTAGCGGGAAAAGTTGGAATGTTTTAAAAGGCTGTGAGTTAACAATTTAGTTCGCTGCAGCAGATGAGCCCCGCTTCCGAACCGCACGGAACATCGCACAGCGTCTTACGAACCGGACCGGGATCTACCGTGTCTACTACTTTCGTTGGCTGCATGCTGCATCTACTTTTGTTACCATGTTTTTGTTCGTTTTTCCATATAAAAATAGTTTTTGTTTAAGAATTTTGTAAGTGTTTTTTTTATAGCATATGTCGGTAAACGAGCAGACGGATCGCCTGATGATAAGCAATCGGCGTCGCCCATGGACACCTTGAACACCAGAAGCGTTACAAGTTCGTTACCGGCCTTTTGGGGATTAAGAGTTTGAGGATTGTGGGGAATTGGGGGATTGGGAAGATTGGGGAAGGGGGGACGGTAGCTGGGCCTCTGGCCTCCTTAGCCGTCCTTAATATAGATATATGCCAAAGTCTAGGGTTTCATTTCGTTAAATAATAACCATAGGCCTACCTACATCAATACCTCTAGAATTGAGCTTCTATTTAAACCCGTTTACAGGTTTTCACCACCATCCCATTCTCATCCACAGCTGAATAAAAACCTCTTTAACTGCATATAACTGAGTTCGATCAAGGGATAAGTATGCTATAGATGGGACACCATGCTTTGCTAGCTGTACTTTAATTATGTACACACTATAAGGGTACACATATTCTAAACAAGGAATACAAAAAGTATTGTGATAAATAGCAGCATGCAATGAAGCGATCGTGTAATATTTTATTCGAGTATTATTTTTGTACAATATTTAGTATCTTTGCCGGTGTTGCGTGGCAGATGAGCTCGCGTCCGGTCCGCGTCCGGGACAAATCCCGCGCGACCTGCCGTGCACCGCGGAGTATCGTAGTAGCAATGTGAACAGTAGGACAAAGGAGCAGGAGTTAAAGCATTTTATGTACTTTTCCGCAAAGGGTTTATCCATTATATTCACTTGTAAAACTAATTACCCGACTTCTATAAAAGGAGGTTCTCAGTTTGATCTACATGTATGTTTATGCGTAATTATCTCATGATTGGATGAACCGATTTTGATGCAGTTTTCAGAAAAGTGTTTGTTACACTTTTTTTAAGGGGGGAAAAATCATTGAATGGCTTCTCCCGCCTGGGTGAGGCGGGAGGGAGTGTCAGACTCTTACTGACTAAAAACCACCCCGTTCCTACTCCTGCGCTTCGAGCCGGAGCCCCGGTTACCCGTTAGGTTCTCCGCGACGTGTTTGTTACACTTGACAGAAGGTTTTAGTATATTGACGATTAAAATTAAATAATTATTAGTTTAAATAGAAGCCAGAAGATTTTATTAACAGTTTTTGCTTATTATACATAACATAACATCACGCCTTTTTATCCCCGAAGGGGTAGGCAGAGGTGCACATTACGGCACTTAATGCCACTGTACAATGTAACACCCACTTTTCACTATTTATGTCATGTAATAGGGGGTGAGCCTATTGCCATATACTGGGCACAATTCCAGACTCCGTGCTACCATTGAGATTTTTGAAAAATCCCAGTAATACTTTGCCCGACCCGGGAAACGAACCCGAGACCCCTTGCCCGGCAGCCGCACTTGCGACCACCAACCTCGGCCAACGAGGTATGTTTATTATAAACAAGATTAAACAAGATATATCCACATTTAAGCTATGGTTACTATATTACTGTAAGAATTATACTGTGTCATTGGAATTGAGCTTTTCCGTGGATTTTTTAGATGGCTTTCAGTGAGTCGAGTCGTGGCTATTGTTTTGTGCGAAACTTTTAGCTCATAAATTATGTAAAGTAGTGGAATGGCTTTAAAATATTACGGAATGCGCAATATATAGTGCGTTTTTAGTTTAGTATAGGTTTTGTTGTTGCAATTAGGTTGGAATTGCAAGTTGATTAGAATTAAACATATTTTTTAAGATTGTGTGTAGTGTTATTTCGACGCTTGCGGTATAATGCCAGTGGTTCGAAATAACTAGTAAAACGATTTTGTGCACTCAGTAAATAGAAGAATAAACAGAAACGGTTCCTACCGTTTACCTATAAAGTGGAGATACTTAAAACTAAGACTGCCTCGTTGGCCGAGTGGTCGCAAGTGCGACTGCCGGGCAAGGGGTTGCGGGTTTGATTCTCGGGTCGGACAAACTGTGGGTATTTTCAAAAAATCACAGTGGTAGCACGAAGTCTGGAAATGTGCCCGGTATATGTCAATTGGCTCACCCCCTATAACATGGGACACATAACATAAATAGTGCAAAGTAGGTGTTGCATTGTACAGTGGCATTAATATCCGTAAAGGGGTAGGCCCTTTGCGGATAAAAGGCGTGAAGTTATGTTATGATAAGTTAAAACTAAATCTCTCACATAGGAGTTCAACAAGTCTATCATAGAGCGAGTTACCTTAACCTGCCTGGCTTGACCTCGGGCTAGTTAGAAGTTTCTAGTGTAACAGTAGAGCACTCTAACTCTTCACTACTACTATTTACACTATAATAGGTTATAATTTCTAGTTATTATTTTTAAAATATAGATTGTAGATCAAGAGTAGGTCTATTGTGAGCCGCGGAAGGCATTACAGGTTGCCAGGGCTTCGGCTCAAAGAGCAGGAGTAGGAACGAGGTGGTTTTTAGTCAGTAAGAGTCTGACACTCCCTCTCACCAAACCCAAGGGGTTCGGGAGAAGTCATGGGATGGTATTCCCGCTTCAAAAAAAATGTCTATTGTGAACACTGTTGGTACGCTGGCGTTTGGCTGTCGTATAATAAAGTAAATTATTTGTATGATCCATAAGTGCTTGTTCTCAGTATTTTCTGTTTGTGAACGGGCCCACAATACAGGAAAAATCCTACCCTGAAGTGAGGTTAAAAGTAATAATTACCCGTTTATGATCAGTTTACACGTGTACTTGTAATGTAGGTGGAAGTAGTGGGTGAAATACCCTGTCTTCAGACATTTTTTTCGTCATAAAGATGATTGGAGCTTAGGAACTTCTTTTTGGAAAGAGGTGTCAAAATTAATTTGGTTGTATTTGTAGATCTAAGAGGGATAAACATTCTTAGCCATCATAATTGTTAGGAGTTCGTAACATTTCTTTCATCTTTTAGCACTATACATTTTTTAACAGTTATTAACTGTACCTAATAGTAACGTGTCAGTGAAGCTGATGTTAAATTATCCTCAAGGTTTACGATGATAATTTTGTTTTACTACTATTATACTTATGATGACATTTATTTAGTTTTATACTTTCACGGTCGTAAAAAAATAGCTGTCATAAATAAATGCAGAAATGTCTGTCTGAGATCAGTTTCGATGATAATATCAGACCAGGATGATTTAGGAACAGCCTTCCGCCAGTAATACTTTATGGGTGGTGCGAATTGGACTTGTGCCGACTCAGGAAAATGTCGAACCCTAATTGTAGGAATCCGTCAACGGAACAACACGTGATGAGGATGAGAGATGCCAATGAAGAAAATTCAGTTATGTAATAATTCAGTTAAAAATATTCTTTGAAACTTTACTGACATTGAAATACAGTTAGAAAAAATAAATCTTTTTGCGATTTTATCTAACAGGGTCCATGATGTAACACGTCCAGCGGGTATCCGATGTCGCTGTTACAGTCTCTGTTGCACCTCAGCCAGCACTTGTTCCAGTAGCAGCGGCCATCGCTGCCGCACACCGGCGCAAACTGCCGCGTGCAGCACGAGCAGTCACACACACAACGACCAGGGTGCTCGATACCAATCAGTGACAAGCCCAAGTCCGACCGCCTCTTATTCTCACACCTAAGCTGACAACTGTTACCATACGTCCTCTCATCAGTACCACACACGGGCTCGTACTGCAATGTACACGTGCACGGACACACTCCCTGACTGGCGATTGTTAGACAAGGACGTTTTTGAAGCTTACGTCTATTGTTCTCACACGTGAAGAGGCAAATATTAGCAAAAGTTTGACCATTGCTTCCACAAACTGGTTGGTATATTTTCGGACATTTGCAGTCCACACAAGTTCCTTTGTGTTGGATGGTAAGGCATGACTTTCCTAGCTGGCTACGTCTTCTGTTCTCACACTGGAACTCGCACAGGTTGCTGTAAGTCTTTCCGTTGCTCGCACAAACTGGATCTACGTTAAGCGTACACATGCAGTTGTCTTGTTCGCAAGGGCCTTCACATTTAACTTCGATACAGGGTTTTCCGTTGGCTTGGTTGTGTCGACTGATGCACTGAAGATAGCAAATGTTCTTGTACGTTTTACCATCAGTACCACAAACCGGAATAATGACGTCAGGGCAGATGCAATATGGTAATCTGCAAGGTCCAGGATATGCGACTTTAATAGGATCGAGTCCTATGAGATGACGTCTTCCGTTTTCACAATCGCAGGCGCATTCGTTAGAATAAGTGTGGCCATCACTTCCACACACAGGTTTGCCACCGGCGGGACAGTTGCATGGTTTGTGGGGGGGACACTGCCCGTGGCTAACCATATGTATGGGTAAGAAGCCGTGATCCACTCTATGTTTGCTGATGCATTTAAGTGAGCACTCGTTGGAGTATGTCTTGCAATCAGAGCCGCAGACTGGCCGGAATACACAGTCGCACTCGCAGCGAACGTGAGCAGAATGGTTGGGATATGGCTTTGGCACAAACACGTTGTTCTCACAGCTGGAGACAAATGGCAGTAAGCTTACCACCGCCACCAGTAATCCTGGGAACAATAATATTACAGTTTGTACTTTTACAATATTTAGAACTTACTATTTACGAACCAGAAGTCAAGTAAATATTAAAAAGAGTAATTTACGTAAAGAGACCTTTTATAATGACCATGTTGCACAACGAGCACTCGAGTCTGAGGAGCCATCCCTGAACTGTAGCTTTTATAGTGTGTATGTTGACTTAGCCGTTTGTTAGACACAACAATATGTTTAACGAAGAATGAACAATTTATTATGCAGAAACAATAACAGCACTGATTTGTAAAAGCTGTTGCGCAAATAAATGTTTTTCTTTGTTGCAGTGAGGCACGAAATGATGGATTTTCAATTTTTTCTACGTCTAATGGAGAAAAAATATTGAAGTAGAATACAATTACATAACATGAATTATCATCTTCATTCAATTGCGATACCCTTGAATTTAATGAGAAACACAATTAACGATGTGCAGTTGTTTTTTTTTTATAACGAAGTTGTGGAACTATGTAGTATTAAAAGTTCACTGACAAATTTAATTTCTTATTGGTCAATCAACCCCTTCAGTACTTTTGTTTTAACATTATACCTCTACTGTGCAGTGAACGTAGCATGTTGTGTAAATAAACGACTAATGATGTAAATTAATGTAAATAAACGAATAATATGTGCACAGATGCAGTCGACTCAATACAATTTAATACTCTTGACGCATGGGCTTATAAAAAAAAGAAATGTGCATATGTTTACAGGCTTTGAATAAATCTATTGAAACACTATTATCGCAATATTTAAACACATTTTTTATTGATTACTTTCATTTGTGATTGTACTATTTGCAGCTGGTATGTTTATTTTCTTTATATTCATTTATTTAAGCTGTCTGGGTTTCACTATGGTTCTACCAAATTAGGTTTATAGTTGCTCAAGCGCTTGAATGTCAGTATCTATATGTATGAGACACAATAGAATACACATTGTGTCTCGCGTAGATACTTACAACATACTTAAAAACATACAACTCAAAATTAACATACAAAGTCTCTATTTAAGTACTGGTTATGTTACAGTTATGATTTATATATTAAACTCAAACTCAAAAGCATTTATTTCAATTAAACCATATTTTGGTACTTTTGAAACGTCAACAAATATGAAATAAATAATAGTCTGTCAGTCTGTCCGTCAGTGAAGCTAGGCGCTCGTTCCAAAATGTCGATTCGAGTGGAGAAGAACGAGCAAGAAACTCCATTCGTTACTCTTTTAAAAAAAGTCTGTTTTACATTGCTCTGATACATATTCCAATATTGTACACACATGTGAGAATAATGTAAAGACATACCTGACGCAACATACAAATAACAGACAAACATTAACAATAGGTAGTTTTAAACCATCAATTAGTTTTCAACAAAAAGTAATTTGTTTTATTACCTCCATGGTTTTCAATTAGCATAATATTGAAATGAATGAAACAAATTCGCAAACGTTTCTGTTTACATTTAATTTTACTAAAACCATTATCACTTTTCAGTTAAATTGATATATTGCTAATGATAGGTGGCACTGCTATATGCGTGCCATCACACGTGTCTATGATGAAAATCATTATAAATAATGGACCACCGAAGACTTGGTATTCTTCTTTTATATAATTTATTAACATTTATCTAACTTTTCATAAATGCCCAATATAATTACAATATCCTTCATCGTTTCTTCATTACTGCAGATCGTGTTTGCTTAACGATTCCTTCTGTAAGGCCTGTATATAGTATAGCTATAGGCATAGCTCTCCACGAGTTTCTGTCTTTAGTATACTATCATTGTAATATTCAACACATACACCCACACACACAAATATATCAACAGCCTATAAGTGGTCACTACTGAACAAAGACCTGATCTCGCGCGGAGAAAGAAAACACAAAAATGCTTGAATGAAAAAAAATCTTTTAGTCAACAAACTAATCCTTACTTACATAGAGGTCCAATGCAATACATACGCACAGTATTAAGGGTCATAACGAAATCAGTTTTTATTCGTTTCAAACGTTGGCTGGATGATTTGATAAGGGCGATGTAGGCGCCATCTTTATTCAATCTTCGCCACCTTTCAATTCGGGCCGGCGCGTGACCAGAATACTAGACTGGCAGTCGGTCACCATAAAGTAGGGTGGTGTAGGAAACTTCTTGGTGTGGTTAAAACTATGAAAGATTTTATAAAGGGAACATATTCATTGAAGACAGTTTTTTATATTTGTGACATTTTTCTGTATTATCAGTAAAAGCGTAATAATATTATTATTACAATTATGTTCTCGTTTTATGAGGTAGGTACTATTACTCTCGCGATACTTTTGATTTTCGGTGTTAGACCCTATATTTTTATCAGGAACAGGTCGCGAATTCGTCAACTCAAACAAATGAAAATTTTCAAAATGTACATAAAACTGCAGTGGTAGAAATTGGTTGTGTATTGAAAAAGTTGACAGCATAATATGACCGAAGCGATGACACACAGAGACTTTATTCTCTCTTTAGTATCTCATCTATAGAGCTATCTCAGCATAATAATTCAGTTATTTTCTTAACTCGTCGAGTACCGGTTTTGTAGACACAATTATAGAACAATAGGTTGCGGTCACCGGTGACCGCTTGGTATTTGACAGTTTAAACTATTATTATATCGTATGGTCACAGCGGTGTGGACGAGCTCGTTCCAACTTGAGGCGGCTAGCCGAAGTATTAAGAAGTCGGTGTACACTGGAGGAGTGGAGGTGGACCACTACATCCATACTGTGAACACAACGCTTTATACTATTCTGTGCAGGCTTCCTACAGTAAACAATATTACCAATGAGTCTCAGTGTTTATTTGGATTTTTAGACTTTATAATCCGTACGGGCGTGTAAGTTTTCAGTTAAGCACAGTTAAATACGCATAAGTTATTATATGAGAAACTCGGGATCGTTGATCTAGTGGTCATTAGTGCGACTATTGAGTTTGGGGACTTGGGTTTAATTTTCGCTTCGGACAAAGTGTTATTGGGTTGAAAAATTCTCTGTTTAAAAAAAAAGATATGTGTTGAGATACATACACAGGAAACGATTCACCAAAATTGCTTAACATTCCTTAAACTAAAAGCGTTAGGTTGACTTAAACTCAGTAATTATCTAACCCACCTAATTCTCCCACAATGGCCTGCTTCACATGTTATCTTCACCCATAAGTGTCGACGTGGGTTTTTAAGGGTTAACGACCACCTACCAGCCTAATTAATTTATTCGGAAACCTTTGTACGAAGCACTTCTTACTAAGAAAAAAAAATGCTCCTTTTTAAGCTCCTGAAATATCTCCTGTATTGTTTCTCTTAATTGGACTTTTATGAAAGGACGTTACAATATTTATTTTTTGAATAAATTATATATTAATTTAGTGTCTAGTCTAGGTGAATCAAGTTATTGAATACGTCTTGCTTCTGTTACTAGGGCTTCAGATAAAATTGTAGTATCATTTTGTGAAATTCAACTTCATTTGGGCTATTCGTTTAGAATAAGTACGGACTAATAAACTATGGAGATTTAAGAAGAATGTTTCCTTAATTGGTTCGTAGAAGTAATATTGAAGTTAAAGTTTCACCCTATCTCTTTATTGCGGTGTATAAGTTGAGGACAATAGTAATAGAATTTCTTTTGTTCCTATAGCTATAGGTTTTGAGCGCTTCCTCATCATGTACTTTCTGAATAAGGCCGCCATTCAGGAGTAATCATCGATAAGGTATGCTAATCACAATTTTAATCAATTTACGCTCCTGAAAGTCATCAATGTAAATATCTCAATGTTTATCAGCCACGTCTATTTATCCATGGAGAGTATACATTGTCGAGACCCTGAATAGAACCCGTATACTCCTCTAAATCAACAGCCCAGTGTGTGTAGTCAAATTAAACCATAACACGGCCGGTCTGAAGCTGCATAACTTAGTTCGCAACACCGGCCTGCCATGAGCTTGGACAGTTTTATTGGGTAAACAGAACTGTTGGCAGGTCAATGCTTTTTTATTTGATTTGTATCACGAATCTGAACAAATGCGCAGTGGAGTTGATTTTGTTTTTTTTAAATAGTGGTAATTTGTTTATGAGTTAGTTATCCGCTTTAGTATTGTTTATTTTTAGGAATGTTGATATCATGTTTAAACAGAGCGTCTTTTACGTCAGATTTTATTGACTAACTTTATTTGTAAACTTATATCGCTTTAGACTCTTGAACTACGATTTTATAAATTGTAGATATCAAAATATTCAAATAAAACCTCTTTTTCTTTAACTTTAACTTTGACTTTTTTCGCAGCCTGTCTCTATCGTATTGCATTTTTTTAAAGGAGGAAAATCATCGAATGTATTTTCCGCCTGGGTGAGGCGGGATGGACGGTCAGACTGACTAAAAACCACATAAAAAACCTGTTGCTGGCGTGTACTATATTACCTCAATATGTTTTTTCAAACAGACAAAACATTATCATTCATTCATAACTCTGTTTGAGTCAATTACCTCGTGCATTATGAACTAGACACCACAAAGGGAGCCATGAATGTTTGCTAATCACTGATGCACTGGGGCTATGACGATTGCCTCGGATTAGAGCGTGTGCTGATTTAAGCTGGATGTTCTCTGATTGCACTGTGGTATTGTGATCTTGATGCTATGAGTGAATTATCGTTAAAGTAATAGGGATAATTTATATTTCTAAAATGCCTTGTTTCATGACGCTGTACTGTGAGGTCGTCGTGTAACACCGGCAGAGCCAATTGTGCCGAATCATAGTTCTGTCACGTGCAAAGATTTTCATCATCACACTATTCATCATTACCTATCAACTGGATACCGTAATTTATCAATTTAATTCGAATTTACATATTACTGGTTAGCAGAAACCTACCTTAATAATATTTAGTAGTCAATAAGATACTCATATGAGACGTGTCTACTCGTGTCGTATTTGTTAGAATACGTAGTTTTGGAACTCAACCATTTTAGTTCAGTATACTGCCACTGGTGTCGCTCTCTCTCTCACTTTGAATCTCACATGTAAACGGTCGTACGAAATAAATAACTAAGTATTCTGTGTTAATA